AACTTGATTTAAAATTGCTAGACAAATTCATCGTTTTGCGAAGTCAATTTGAACTGATGGCTGCTTTAATATTGTTCTTCAATTGTTGCTTTGTTTCATTGGGTGGCCTCATTGTCTTAGAGTATCAAAGTTTGTGATAACTTTGTTAGGAATTGCTGGACGAAAATATCATTTTTCGTTTTTTTTCTCGCTATTTTAAAAATTGTTTACACTTTTCCTCATGTTTAGTGAATTTTGATCTATTTCTAGGCTAGATTTTTCTAAAAACTGTTCAATGCATAAATTCTTCTATACTAATTTATTATTTTTTTGTTTGACTATTTGGTAAACTGTTTTTTCAGTCAAATTGATGGTCTTCGCTAATCGGACTACTTTGGAATTAAAATTTGGCGTTATCTGGTTCATAGCTATTCAAAATCTTTTTTTAAATATACAATGTCTAGTTTTTATTCTTTTTTTGTTTCACTTGTTTTGTTTCTGGTCTGATTTTTTTGAACTCATTAAAAGACTAAAAGTAAGGTTTAAATTGATGAATTGTTTTAGAATTGATATTTGAACAAATTGCAAAACTTCTCATTGTCACTAGTGTTGTGTTTAATTCAGAAAAGTTTTCAGTTAATCAAAATTTTTGTGTTCCCAATAAATAGGAACTTTGAAACGTTAACTCAAACGGTTTTGCACATTTTGTGCATCACCAGTATTAAAAAATTTTAAGCAAACTTTTCAGTACAATTATAATTTTTTGAAAAGTTACAAAATGTCTTAAGAAAACTCAATAAACTTCTGACCAATCAAATTTAAGCAACTGTACTACACAGTATTTTACTGAATCATTATTAACAGTTTCTTTAATATGTTTTTAATTTTTTTGTTCTTAAATTGTTAAATTATTTTGCATTGGGATTGTTTTCGATTCTGTCATGTCAATTTCTTAAATTTTAGCCATTATTTACATGAACTACAATTTTAGCGTTAATACCCGGCGCGTCTTGATTTTTGGCCTTTTACCACCAAATATGCAAAACCTCTAGTGTTAGTAGCTTCTGACTTTCACCTGTTTGGTCTATAATTTCTGATTCCAGCTCAGCAGAACCACCAACCTCCTTATTGCTTTCTATCAAATGCTGTCCTACTGTAGAGTCCTTTTTGCAGTGTTCATCAACCATCCTGGCTAAATTTTGCCCTCTCCGGCCGACTCAGATGGAGTTACAACCAGTACAAGTAAGCTTTTACTTTTGTTTGGATCTCAGTTCATAAGCAAAGGAAGTTTTAAGGTTTGTTCAGCATTTTCTCAACTTTCTTGTTGTAAAACTGGTTGAGCCCCAGATATTTGCCGCATCTTTGCAGCTAACAGCTGCGATGGAAAACCTCGAAATTGCCTTGTCAAAAAAGGGTTGATTCTACCAACCAATTATGATTTCTCTATTTCAATGTCGCAACCTTTAAAAGTTCCTACCCCAATGTTCTTGTTCAGAATTTCAAACACTACCCTGTCCGATCATTTTTGCGGATATTGATTTTCAATCCATTGCTTACGATTTTTCTCCAACGCATTGTCAAAGTTTACCCACGTTAAGTCACTTCTTGCGACCCGATAGACTTTACCTTCAAAAACATTTTTTTTTGTTTTGCAAAGGTGCGCAGCTTCTAAAATTAAGAATGTTACCAGTATCTGTGAGTTTTTGAAACAACTCAATTGTGACTTGTTTTCGTGAGTCCATGTTTACATTTGAAGCCAAAAACTCTTAACTACCGTTACTATCGAGTTTTTATTTAGTGAACAGAAAGTTTGGATGCAACTTATTGGCAGCCTCGAGGACTACCCCAGGATTGCCCCTCACAGTTCTAACTGTGTCATTCACATAACTTAGAAAAATTTTAACACAATTCTCAAATCGATCTGTGTACTGCTGGTTTTTGCACGTTTTGCAAAACCAGACTTTTTCAGCAATGTTTACATATTGGGAATCCGATGTGTTAACACACCCTAAGTGGAACCAATCCAAGCAGGCTCCGCATTCTTCCCACTTTAGTCCAGTAAATCACCTTTTTCTGACATACATCAGATGGAGTTACAACCAGTACATGTAAGCTTTTACTTTTGTTTGGATCTCAGTTCATTTGCAAAGGAAGTTTTAAGGTTTGTTCAGCATTTTCTCAACTTTCTTGTTGTAAAAACTGATTGTGCCCCAGATATTTGCCGCATCTTTGCAGCTAACAGCTGCGATGGAAAACCTCGAAATTGCCTTGTCAAAAGAGGGTTGATTCTTCATACCATTTATGATTTCTCTATTTCAATGTCGCAACCTTTAAAGTTTCCTACCTCAATGATCTTGTTCAGAATTTCAAACACTACCCTGTCCGATCATTTTTGCGGATATTTATTTTCAAACCCTTGCTTACGATTTTTCTCCAACGCATTGTCAAGTATACCCATGTTGAGTCACTTCTTACAACCCGATAGACCTTCCCTTCATAAACACTTTTTTTGTTTTGCAAAGGTGCGCAGCTTCTAAAGTTAAGAATGTTACCAGTATCTGTGAGTTTTTGAAACAACTCAACAGTGACTTGTTTTCGTGAGTCCATGTCTACATTTGAAGCCAAAAACTCTTAACTACCTTTACCATCGAGTTTTTATTTAGTGAACAGAAAGTTTGGATGCAACTTATTGGCAGCCTCGAGGACTACCCTAGGATTGCCCCTCACAGTTCCAACTTTGTCATTCACATATCTTAAAAAAATTTTAACACAATTCTCAAATCGATCTGTGTACTGCTGGTTTTTGCACGTTTTGCAAAAACAGACTTTTTTAGCAATGTTTACATATTGGGAATCCGATGTGTTAACACACCCTAAGTGGAACCAATCCAAGCAGGCTCCGCATTCTTCCCACTTTAGTTCAGTATATCACCTTTTTCTGACATCCAGGGCAGACTCTGTTGTTATCTTCATTTAGCAACGTCCATGTTGGTGCGTTTTTTCCCTTTTGCAGATTCGTTCTCATTGAGCCACAAATTGGTCAGTAATAGGGCTAGATTGATTCCCCTTGCTAAACCGCCTTTTTGTACTTATCACAAACTTTTGCATTCAAAGTATACCTTACTCGCAGCAAAAATTAGTAGCCTTTTATAGCTTCGCCAGATTGTTCCGGATGATTTGTTTGCTGAAACAACTTTCTCGTGGCTTCTTTTCAACAGCTTCCTCGAGTGGGCATTAGTATACAAACTTTTAGCATCAAGGGAAAGTAGATTCTCATCAGAGTCCAATTGAGTTTTCCCTAGCCATTTGAGTTTTTGTTTCTATTTTTGCGCCACCAAATTCATCAAACAATTTTGCCAATGTTGATTTGGTTGATCAGATGAGCTACCAGGTGAAAAAACGACGGGAGACCGATCATTTAGCAGACAAATCGTTCAGCATAAAAAGTGATAAATGAGTCTCTTAGCCAAACATAATAATGTCATAGAGTATTGATTGACAGACTCAAAAAGACGCTCAGTTTGGGGCAGCGGAGCATGTGGTCGCTAATCACAAATGCCGTGTTTGAAGTTAGCTCTCACGCTTTATTTGTTCTCTGTCTGCTATAAACATGTCTACCAAAAAACCTGTCGGCTAAAATGCCAAGCACCGTAATGACGGGTCGAAATGGTGTTTCTTGTTTGTGCACATTTGCTTATCCGTTCAACCTAGCTTATTGCGCCCAGGCATTTCGGGTTCGGGTTTTCGGGTATCGGGTCGGGTTTTCGGGTTTTGAGACAAATTTCGGGTTTCGGGTCGGGTTTCGGGTTCAACAAATTTTCGGGTTCGGGTATTCAATTATGTCGGATTTCTAAAACCCGACTTGTTTGCTGTTTTCGGTTTCGACAAAAACTTACCCAATTTTTCTTTTGTTTGAGGTTTTTTTACTTTTTTAATTTTTATTTCTATTTCATTTCTGAACGCGATTGCATTGTACGATGAAGGAAGAGTGGCGGATATTTGAAACCAAAAATCCAAAGTTGAAAGACAAGTTTCTGTGCGGTTTCATTGACAAGATGAAAACAGAAGCGCGGAAGTGCGTTCGTTGCAAAAGTGTATTTTCATGTAAAAAGAGCAATACGTCAGCTCTTGAAAGGCACATTAGCAGCTGCACTTCCACTGAGTCGGAAGATGTAAATCAAATTTCCATAAGAAAATTTCTGAACTCGAATACTGAAAAGTTTACTTTCCATTCCCAATTCGTATAAATATTGTTTTTACAGCTATTTTTATTGTTCACTGTAAGAGAAAGTTACACTCTAAAAACGCATCAAATTTATTGCGTCAACGTTCATACCATTTAATCTACCTGAAAATCGGGCATGTCGGGTCGGGTAATCGGGTTTTGAGATCTTTTTCGGGTTTCGGGTTTGAAATGAATGTCGGGTTCGGGTTCGGGTTTGAAGAAACCGTCGGGTTCGGGTTCGGGTTTTAGCTTATCGGGTTTCGGGTTTGAAAAATGTCGGGTCCCGAAATGCCTGATTGCGCCCCGTTATCTTCTCCTGATATATAGCGCCTCGCTGATCTCGTGATCTTTCTTTGTCATGGCAAAAAATTCTTTAGTTATGTCTTTTTCGATTCTTATGACAAAACTGTCAATCAGATTCTATCTCTTACTTACTGTTTTGCGTGCAAAAAATCGGTAAGTTTCCTCGAATGTTTTTTTTTTCAGTAAACAAAAACACAAACCCTTATAAAAAGGAGCTGCCAGAAGCACGTTATCCTGTCTTAGATGGAAAAAACTGAAAAATTTTGTTCGGTATTTGTGTCTCTCATTTACTAATTTAAAAAGTTAATCATAGTTAGTGGTTTTCGTTTTTTCATCAAAAAAGTTTACCAATGCAGTCTACCCATTTTTCAATCGCGTGTCTTCGTAAAAATTTTGATGCATAGCAGGCAGGTTAAAAAGTTAAAGTTGGAGGTAGGCTGATTTTGTAGCTTGTTTAATTTAAAAAATGTTTGTGCAACAATTTTTTTATCTGATTTCTGATAACTTTTTCTTGACTTACAATTTTGCATTGCAAGTAGTGCGAAAATCTGCTTCGCCCCTGTGTAAAAAAGATCCGTACGAGAAACCAGTGCTCAAGCATAATCGACTGTCATAGTAAAGTAAGTAAACTGGAAACTAATTTTTCTAGTAAATCGACTTGAAAATAAAATAAAAAATTCAAGAAAGTTTTTCAATTTTGTTTATTGCAGAATGTTTTTTGAAATTTTTGATTCCAAAAAAGGCGCAATCAAACTGGACTTTACTCGAGTTAAACTAAGTTTTACGGCTTAACTTATTTTTAGGTTTTCAGGGCCTTGAAATAAGCTATTGTAAGCCTGCTTGATCGCTTTTTTTGATCGAATTCAGACGAAAAATCGAAATTGTCCACCCGGTTTTTCTTGACACTGTGAAGTATTTCTCGAATGACGACTGAAAGGGCTCTAATATGATATATTAGACTTTCTTCAATGATTAATTGTGGTAGCTGAATTTGCGTGGAAAATAAAAGAAGAAAAAACTGTAACATCCGAATACATATTTCCTCCACATTTTTCTAATGGTCGGACATTTTTTTTTCTTAAGACTATTGTCAGATTATTCTGTGCTGCTTGCATAGTAACCGGCTATCTTTGTTTATATATGGATTTTTTTACAGTTAATATTTGTTCGATGCTCCTATGGAGGATGTAATGAAAGATTATGAGAAGTTGGATAAAATTGGAGAGGGCCAATATGGAGTTGTATATAAAGCACGAAACGTTACCTCTGACGAACTAGTTGCCTTGAAAAGAATTGCCATCGATGAAAGAGATGGTGTACCATCCACTGCTTTGCGCGAAATTTCGTTGCTGCAAGGTCTAAAACATGAAAATATTGTTAGATTAATTGACGTTCTTTTCGTGGAAGCTCGCTTCTATATTGTGTTTGAACTCTCTGACATGGACTTGGGTCAGTTTATTCGAAGGTTTAGACCAAAACTTGTTCCGCTTGAGGTTTCAAAGAGTATTTTTAAACAGCTGATCTCTGGTCTTTATTTTTGTCATTCAAGAAGAGTTTTACACAGAGATATCAAGCCTCAAAATTTACTTATCAACAAGGATGGAGTCATGAAGATAGCCGATTTTGGGTTGGCACGAGCTTTTTCTATTCCTCTTCGGCCACTGACCAATGAGGTTGTGACTCTGTGGTACAGACCACCGGAAGTTCTTTTCGGTCAGTAGAATCATTTTTGTTATGATATTATGCGAATAACTGATAGTTGATTGAAAATAGCTGTCCCGTAATTTGAAAACAATTTGCGGTGCTAGTTTACTTGTTTGGTCCCTCAAAAATGCTGTGGTTCCTAATAAAAACCGAGGTACAGTATGTGGCTAATTCTAACAGTAAGCATTTTTATTTCTCTATATTGCTGTCGAAACGGTCCGAGTTAGTCTTGCGGGTATGAATCCGGTTACCAACCCCAAGTCAAGGGGTCAAATCCCATGCTGGCTTTTCTTTTTAGAAAAAAGGGGGGACCTATCATCTAAACTAGTTTTGTCACGGGACCAAACAAGTAAACTGGTACCCAATTTGCATGTTACGATTATTATCGTAATTTGTCCGTTCCGATTATGGACAATTGCCGAAGTTTTAGGCGACGACTTTTACTCTATGGGAGCTGATGTTTGGTCGAGCGGCTGCATCCTCGCAGAGTTGCTTCTTGGAAAAGCGCCATTCCAGGGTGACAGTGAAATTGGACAGATTCATGAGATTTTCAAACAACTGGGCACTCCAGAGGAATCTACTTGGCCTGGTATTTCAAAGAATAAACTCTTCAGAACTACTTTTCCAAATTGGGTTCGCCAACCGACCAAAGTTTTGTACCCGGGAGTTAGCAGCGATTCTGCTATAAAACTCATGGAATCTATTTTTGTTTATGACCAAGAGAAGCGTGTGTCTACGAAAGACATTCTGAACTCTTCTTTTATTGCGGATGCATGTAGTAGATTTCGGTTTATGGTACCGAAACAGTCGGCGAATTATCATTAACCTTTGAAAGGCATTTTGTTATTTTAAAATGTTCTTCTATCGTTGTGAGTTTGAATTTTGTTGTGTTTGGTGATAAACTGCTGTAGCATAGGAAATAAATTTCTTATTTTAGTCTCAATGCGAATTCTACAAGCATGAACAAAGGTCTTGCAGAAATCAAGGTTTACTTTATTACATTTTAGAAGGCTTGGGTAATAGTACGAGTTTTGTGTTATCGCACAATTTTGTGTTCAATTTCAGATTGTGTTATCGCACAATTTTTTGTTCAATTTCAATATCAAATTCTATTCGGCGAGATATCTATCAGCATTTGTTATATGCGCGTTTGTGCAACTACTTCAGACAGCTAGGTGGATGAGTTAGCGGCTGTAATATTCGAAAATCTTGCCATGTAGTGTACTCTGTTTGTCTACATATGCCAGCTGTCACTAGACGTGCGATAAGGAAGAGTGCAATCGGGTATTAGACTTGTCTTAGCTGTAAATAACTTGGTTCACAGGTTTTGATCGTGAAAAAATTGTCCATAGGGTTCAAAATTTTGCATTTCTATTTCTAGCCATAATTTGGGGTTTGAGCTACTGAAGTCATATAAGATCTACAGCTGGAAATGTTGTAAGTTGTAAACTGGATTTTTCTCGGTTTTTTGGATTCCGTCCTCAATTTTATCGGCCTACTTACCGGGTGTTCTTATCTGTTTGAATTTTAAAATACTTTTTCAATTGAGTTTTGCAGAGCGTAATAGTACTTCATAGGTTTTGGGTATTAACACACGCTAAAATTTTCTGGACGAAAAAAATTGAGAAGTTTTTTTTAGAATTTTTTTGCATTAAAATTTCAGTTCTTTCGTAAGCATATTTTCCGATTTTTTGCTTTGTCTTAAAGTGTGTGAAACTAGTTGGAAGCTACTATGCGTCATAAATAAGTGCGAGCAATTCCATTTTAAATCCGTTTAATTGAATGGCGCAGTGTACTGTTTCACTATGACTAAAAGTTTTCGAACATTTTTTTGGCAAATTTTGGATTTTTTTGCAATTTTGACTTCGAAATTTTTCGGCGAAAGTCACATGATAATCAAGAGAGTGGTTGTTTCTGGCTGAAATATTTTGAAAATATGATTTTTCGTGTTGTGATTAGCGGGCATCTTTTTCTTAATGTAATCTATCTTATGTTGTGATAAGAGTTAACTGAAGTTTCGGTCACAAATCGTGATCCTAAAACTCCATAATTTACGTGGAAACATCAGGAACAGTTGTGGGCATCAAAAGGCTCGATCATTTGCTGGCTTTTGACAAACTAAAAAACTGTGAGACCGCAAATTTAACGCAATCACATCAATTTAATTAATGCAACGTAGATAGCTGGTATCCATGTTGCATTTGCCAAGATTGATTTGATTGATTAATATCGTGGTCTTAGTTTTTATTCAATTAAAAAGCAAGCAAATCATTGAGCTTTTTGATGCCCGCCACTGTTCCTGATGGTTCTTGGTAAACTTTGTCGTTAAGGATCACGATTTCTGACCTAAAGTTTTCTCTTATCTTTTGTCTGCCAGTTACGAGTGAGAAAATTATGTGAAGGCAAGATTCTTCTTTTTTCACTAAAAATATTTCTAAAAGAATTAGTTGAGGATTTTTTTTCAAAGTTTTCCGTCTACTATTTTCAACAGAATTCATTGGTTTTTAGCAATCGGTTGAGACAGATTTTCTTTTCAAGCTTGGCGTTTAGTTTGCAAATGGCGCTAAGCTCCGCTCGGCCACTGTGTTATAAATCAACGCTACTGACTCTCATGAATTATTTTAAATAAACTTGCTTTTGAGGTATTTCTTGTAAGAGTAGCTCAAAGGTACTTCTTGATGTTATATCGATTTAGTTGCCTCATACGTTTGAAGAGTGAAAAAATATCATTTTGAATTTGTTTCGTATGGGGGCGCAAAAACTTGGGAAGTTCCAAACTAATTTTAGCTCAATTTTTTTATGACCACGTTTCTTGCAGCTCAATGTTTGTCTGTTGAAGCATTGCATGTTTATTACTGGTTGACAATTTTTGTTTCAATTCTAATTTACAGTAGATTTCAAATTGGCGAAGGCCAATGACAGGTAATCTGGACGTGTGTGGTTCAAATCTATGTTTTTTTAAGCTTTATTTCCAGGCTTTTTTGTATTTTGTCGATTTCAGTTTTGCTCGGGTTTGCGAAGTAGAACTCCGCCGGTGGGTTAAAAAAAACTGTAACAAAGACCGCCGGTGGGTTAAAAAAAACTGTAACAAAGGCTTCTGCTGTCCTGTTTTTCCGAAGACTCAGGGAGTGGTAAGGAAGTATGGTTAAGGGTGTTTTTGTTTCGGGAGATTTTAAGGTGCCGGAAAAAAAAACAAAAATGAATGATTGGGGAACCTTTAAAAGCCATTTAAACCGAGTATTGCAATCGTGTACTAGACTTTTCCCCGTAAACAACTTGTCCACAGAATCTTCACTTCTAGAGGATCTTTCATCTCACATGAAAATTCAAATAAAAGTACTATTACTTAGCTAGTAATTACTTCAAGCCCATTTCAGGTTGTAATTCTCAATTTTTTTTCGGGTTCCTGGTGTTCATCCTGATTTATGTCGGTTCAATTTCCGTTTTTGTAACGCCATTTTTTAAAATGTGGTAGGGTTTTTACTGATTTACTTTTGTTCCAATTTAAACAGTTTTTACTATAACTGAAACTTCACAAATTTGTAAATTTACCATGTCTCATTTTGTGTTTTTTAACTATTCTAACAGTTTCAGTTTATGTCATATCGACTTTGTCAACTTATTTTGCGTAATTTCGAGGGCGAAATATATCCGTTTGGGATTATGTGTTTCATTTTGGATGGCTCGTAAAAACTTTTAATTTTATGAAATTTTTTATGACAACAGTTTTGTTTTCGGCTCAACAGGTTTTGACCCAAAGTTTCTCGCCTATGTTGCCACTCGGTTAATGATTTCCATTTTTAAGGACTGTTTATGAACGTCATCTGATACAAAATGTTTGTCAAGTTTTGTCAAGTTATGTTTCCAAGTAATTTTTTCCAACTTAATTTTTTTTAGAATTTTTTTTGAATTCTGTCTTTTTCTGCAAGGCGTTTTCTGCTTCGCCTCAAGTAAAAAGTTATTCAAGTTTGCACTTTGAAACTTTTATCAAATCGTAAAGTGGACTTTTCAGGTTAACAACTGCTTCAGCAAAACCTTTTATTCCATTTTGTAAACGACTTTTACTTCCTTTTTCTCCGCTTAAATTTTTCGTTTGTTTTTTTTTGTGCAGAGAGGTCTTCGGCATCAATTATTTTGGCTGTTGTTCAATCTGTCTAGTTGTTTCATAATTTGTCGCTTGAGTGACCAAGTTATATATATTTTTTAATCTCAAAGTTGTTGTGATCTGTCATGTGAAATTCCAATGTAACTAACTATGAAAGTTCTAATTTGGTGGCATTTTCTATAATCATGATCTGACTTGGAATTTTCGTAGCGCTTGTTCTCTATTTTACTGGTAACCAGTGTTTGCCATCAGTTAAGCGTCCGTGGCTGAGAGGGAAGGACGTGAGATTCGTAAGCTACTTGTCGGAGGCTCAACGCCTCACAACGCGCTAGTTTTATATTTGCTATTTATTAGTATTTAAAGTTTTCAAGTTGCGCAGATGAGAGAACGTGAGACTCAAAATCTCGTGATCGCAGGATCGAATCCGACGCATAGCAAGCCTTTTACTAGTTTGAGGCTTATTTCTACCCTTTCATATACCACTTTTTGGAGCTAAAATTGAGCGACTCCCTATGTAGTAAAATTGAAGGATCATACGAATGTTTTTGCCGCCCCTATAATACTTGCAAAAGCAAGTGTCCTGTGTTCAGGACCTATATTTTTTGCATGTGAACAGCTTTCTGGTAAATTTAATGAAACGTGCTGTTTTCATTGCGTTTAAGTGCAGAAAGAAAAGAAGTCATATTACAGCATTGGTACGGCGACTTTCTTCTTATCTTATACTAAAAAAAAATATTTTTTGAATGAAAACTAATGTTTTTCAAATCTGTCGGTTTCGTTGTAGTTATCTTTGGCTCAGTTTCCGTTTTTTAATGCTACCTCTAAGAAATTGAACTTGATTTGTTATTGACCGTTGGCGAATTGCCGACTCCCTCCCACTTGGTTTAATGTAAAACTAACATTTGCCTTCTAAGGTCTAGGGTTCGAGTTTTGGTCGGACCTCGTCTTTTGTCAGTATACTTGAAGTTGAAGTTTTTTCCTGGAGAAATTGAAGAAATTTTCCGACTCATTTTTGAGATTGTTTCCGGCCTTATTTTCGAAGGATTTCCGGCCTTTTTCGACTGTATATTATAATGGTTTCGGCTTTTGTTTTACCGGGTTATTGACCTTCTCTGTGTCGCTTCAAACTATTTAAAAATTTCGTTTTTCAAAAGTAGGTCTGGAAAGTTTTAAAGTATGAGTTTCAAGTTTAAAACAGAGCTGCTACGACAAAAAAGCAGCATAACAAAGTGCAATTTTAAGAAGTAGAAATCAGCCTCGAATTAGTAAATTTTGGCCATGTCTCGGACTCAATCTGTCTCACGCTTCGCCTTTTAACAGTTCTAACTATTTTACTATAATTGCAATTTGCTCTGTAGTTTGTAGTATTACTAACTTTGAATTGTAATAGTAATTTTTTTGATTTTTTGGTTCCGCGGATTTTTTAAATGATTTATTGGCTTGGTAAATATATATTGTGCAGTTTCATGGGTGAATTGTTTTTAATGCTTTTTGCATGTTTCAGGGGTATGGGTCGTAAAAATTTTCATTTAGAAAGCTTATAGCTTGAATATCTCTTATGTCTAGCGTATCGTTTTCGTCTTAATGAGGGTCGGCCTATTTTTTTTCACTTGAGTTGCCACTCGGACCGAGACAAAAAAATGTACATTGTTTTTTCTACTTTTTCAAGTTATTTTTCAGCTTTTTTTCTGAAAAGAATTGATTTCCTTCTTTTTCTATTCAATATCTTGTAATGCAATTTTTTATTTGTATCCGCTTTTCCTCTGTGTAAATAATTTATTGGCCTTAAAATCTGTTGATTTTTTTAAAAAAGGACTCGTTGTTCTTATAAAAGTCTGTTTCAGTTATAATTTTGATTAATGGCATATTGTTTGGAATATAATTGAAATGTTTAATGAGAAAAGATACATATGCAGCATTCAACTCACAAGGATTGCGCACGAGCCATGAGGGTTTTTGAGGCAAACCCTGAAAAACCAAAAACACGATTAAAATCTGATGCGAAAATGGTTTCATGTAATTTGGAACTTTCTGTAAGGAAACATTTCTCAATATTATTTATTTCGTTTATGTTTATTTGTTTTAAATTTGTCTGAAGTTTGTTTGAGGATAAACATTTTTTGACTCGCGAGCGCTCGTGCATCTTTGTGAAAAAATTTTTTCGTTCAAAATTTGAATGGGGATTTCGTAGGCAGCTGATTAATACTCTTTTTTTTATGTTATAGTCATATACTTATAAACTATATAAAACAACAGGCTTTGCATAAAAATTGTAAAATCTCATCGAGAGTGTTTTTCTTGGGAAAAAGCTTCGAAAAGCTTTGCCTGTATTTTTTTGCTTTGTCAGATTCTTGTAATTATTCAAAAAGTTGTGTGCTCTAGGCAGCGTATTATTTGACAAATTTTAGTTTTCCGATTTAAGTCTTGACAAAACATCTTGCTGTATTTAAAACTTTCTCGCAAACTATATCGCATAAAAAGGGGCAGGATAGCTACTAATGGTGAAGGTAGGATAGTTGGAATTTTTTGAAGAATTGGATTCATTTCCGTTTACAAAGAATAATATATAAAATATATAAAGTACTGACTCTTTTCCACCCCCCCCCCCCCCAAATTCGAAGTGCAACAAATCTATTCAGAATAGTTAATTCGTTCGGCCTGCAATGTGTCCTTGTATAATGACAACGTTAAATTAACTGAATGAAAATTAAGTATAAATGTGGGGAAGCAAAGGAGCCAAAGTACTTTATATGGTATTTTATCCAAGAGAGTTTTTCTGAGTCTGTCGGCTGTTTTTCCGGGTTTGTTGACTATGCTCACTTAACTTCCTAACTGCGGGTTTGTTTTGGTCGTTGATGCGACTGGCACTCTTCATTTTTGAGTTCGCTCTGAAAAATCGGACTTGGTCTCTTGCTTTTCTGTCCATAAATCGACCCCTCTCCCCTTCTCGAGGCGACCGCGAATCATCATGGTGTTTCTTCACGAACGGGTTTGGCAGAGGGGCGGGCGTTGCAGGTGTGCGAGGTGGAACTTTGTAGAAACCGTTAATTATGTAAGATAAATCTCGGTCAAGGTTGGACCGTTTATCTGATTCTGGTTTTGGTACGTAGTCACTAAAAGTGGCCGGAAGTTGAAAGTTGACACATTTCCCAATTCGATCATCTTTGCTATCTTTTGTTTGAGTTTTGCTGAAGATATCTTCTTTGTAAGTCGCAGACTGGAGTACGTGGCCGTCTATAATTTGGGCTAGGTTGCTCAATTGGCGGAGATGTTGTTTTTTTGAGGGACTGAGCATCGAACAAGAGTGAACTTCCCGTTCAGTCCACAAGATGCTGTTGGACAGGGCACTCGTGTAACATTTGAGACACCTGTTAATTATGAAAATTTTATTTTATAAATTGAACTGAAAGTGGTAGTAAGTAGAAAAACATCCAAACAACTTTTTCAGCAGAATCTATAGTTACAGAGTCACATCAATGAACCGAGAGATAAATATAGTGCCTGACATCAAATATCTGGGTTTTTTTTTAAATGCAGAGCTTTTTTGTTGTAAAATAAAGGACCAAATACGAGCTGCCGAGATCTTCGCGCACAACCGCTATTGTGCCCATGATTCAGTGATAAATGCAATATCTTTGGATTAGAGGGGTGGGGTGCGGGTGTCGCGCGCTTAAGCAACGATCACAAATCATAGTGGTTGTCAAAGGACGGAAAGCGCGAATTTTTTATATCTTCACTTCAATCTTTTTGGATTGCAATAATTTAGAAAAAAAATTAAATTAAAAGTACATGTCTAGAGCATCGACCACAGAAACAATAAAAACTTAAGTAATCGTACCATTCTATGGGGTTGTATTGCTCCGAACTGTTCCTGGCATTTGCTCTGCCCTCTTTCGAAGTGTCTTTCACCATCACTTCAACCACGATTGGAGGATTCCTGTCCCTCCTCTTTTTCATGCCCATTGCGAACTTCGGTGGAGACACTTTTTCAGCCTCCGATGCGACTATAGTGGTCTGTTGAGTGCTATGAAATGGAGTCTACAGGCAATTGAATCAATTATTAAATGTACCCAAAAAAACTGTCAAAAAACCCGAATAAAAGTTAAACTAGACGAACAGTGAACTCAAAATCAGCGGCGGTGAAGTGGTTACGCCCCCGCCTCTCAATCGAAAGGTCGGATGTTCGAGGCCCACCAGGATCCGTGTTTGTTGCTTCAGGGCGCGGCCCGGAAAAATAACCAATTAAGTTACGTGTAATTGTTAACCAGGGGCATAACAGCGGTTCTCAGTGAAGAGCTGAACAACTCCTGTGTTCGTCCTTTCCTTCGTTAAAAAATTGTCAAAAAAATTAATAAATTAGATGTCAAATTCCCGTGTTAAATTTTTTGTGATAAGATTTCTTAAAATCATTTTCCTGTAGGCTCAATTACGGTTCCGTGTCCTTTTGGATCACATGTGCTATTTTCACTTTGTGTTCCTGCATAAGTGCTTGGTGCATGTGATAGTGGAATTTCCTAGATTTCTCCTCGATAGAGTTTGGATCCCTTTTTCTATCGGTCGGTATCTGTTTTGGAGCGTTAAGTATTACAGGTTGTTGGTCATTCTTACGAATAAATCTGGAAATTTGGTCGCTCGGCATTATCAGCGCAGTTTGGACTAATCTCAGAATCGAGAAAAATATGGCTGCTTTAGGCTTTTCTCACTTGCAATTAGAATCGAAAAGAATATTATCGGTCGCACCTTCGAATCGAAGATGTTGGAAAACGTACGGTGATGATGATGTTTCACGTTCTAGTGAGCTCAAATAATTGAGAATGAATGAAAGGTTTCGATAAACTTCTTGAATCAGCTAGAAAGCCACTTGAAACATGATTTCTAATTAAGCTAATTTAAGTTATGAATACTCGACAAGATTGACTTGCTGTCTTCATTGCTCACCGAGACAGATCATTTTCTCAGCTTTTGTTAGAAATATGAAGTGAACTTGTAAAATTTACTTGCGTTCTTTGTTAGATTGTAGTCATTTTTTGAACGATTATTTTAAATTATACACTGGTATGTTCATTGGCCTGTTTGTTTTCCGCTGTGTTAGCTAATAAGATGCGAATATGGTGGTTTTTGTTAATCTGATCTTGTAGATAACACTGCTCGTCTCTTGCTCCGGCTGTTCGAACGATCAAAGTGCTTGAGTTAATCCAGAACAGTACTTACGCGTTTAAAAGCCAACGCTATTATAGAGAAGACAATAAAGCTGAAAAGAATTGCTAGGATTCGCTTTTAGAGGCCTTTTTAATGAACGTTTTTTTCGCATTGTTTTGAGAAAACAGGGTTTTTGGATGCCGTAAGATTGTTTTCTGTAATAAGGCCCAATTTTGAATCTTATTGTTTTTTTTCGTTTTTCATTAAGTTTCTACATGTGACTGCTCTCTCTCTCAACTTAATCTGAAAAAATTTAAGCTAATTTAAGTTATGAATACTCGACAAGATTGACTTGCTGTCTTCATTGCTCACCGAGACAGATCATTTTCTCAGCTTTTGTTAGAAATATGAAGTGAACTTGTAAAATTTACTTGCGTTCTTTGTTAGATTGTAGTCATTTTTTGAACGATTATTTTAAATTATACACTGGTATGTTCATTGGCCTGTTTGTTTTCCGCTGTGTTAGCTAATAAGATGCGAATATGGTGGTTTTTGTTAATCTGATCTTGTAGATAACACTGCTCGTCTCTTGCTCCGGCTGTTCGAACGATCAAAGTGCTTGAGTTAATCCAGAACAGTACTTACGCGTTTAAAAGCCAACGCTATTATAGAGAAGACAATAAAGCTGAAAAGAATTGCTAGGATTCGCTTTTAGAGGCCTTTTTAATGAACGTTTTTTTCGCATTGTTTTGAGAAAACAGGGTTTTTGGATGCCGTAAGATTGTTTTCTGTAATAAGGCCCAATTTTGAATCTTATTGTTTTTTTTCGTTTTTCATTAAGTTTCTACATGTGACTGCTCTCTCTCTCAACTTAATCTGAAAAAATTTTGAAAATATGCAAAAAATTTTCTGCATAAGAAGGTTATCGAGCTGCATCGTCGTAGCTTGGATGCTTGGGCCACAGTTCGGAATAAAGTTTTGTAAGACATATTTGCCGCTATTTAAAGAGAATTAATTCAGGTTGGATCATGTCTTCGCCAATGTCAGTTCTAAAACCACACAAAAGATTCCAGCCAACTCCTCGAAGAAGCTCAGATGACCCCTTCAAGCTGCCCGAACTGAGCGAAAGGAGCCGTCGATTATACGGGCGAAACTATCATTCAGGAGCCGAAGCATTCAACTTCGCTTCCATGAACTCATCAAATGATGTTGAAATGCCTAATTTGTTGTGCGATTACACGACAGTCGACATCGAAAATAGACAGAATACTCCTGATAACCTCGACAGGTTTATAGCTGATTTTGTTCATAAGGATGGTCAGAATAGCAGGAAAAATAGTAAAGCTTCACCTCGAAATAAAGTGTCACCGAGAAATAAATTAACAGGGGCTGGATACAGTCCGTCCGCGCCTGATGTTGCCCTTATGACTTCCATGGCCTCGCGATTACGTCAAGTTGAAGGACAATTGCAAGAGTACTCTCGTGAAATCATCGAAAAGGACCTGAAAATAAAGCAGCTTCAAGAGCGATTAAATCAATCAGAACTTGAGTTGAACAAAGTGAACGAAGTTTATTCGAAAACAAATGTAGGAGTGGTTCAGAAACGGTGCGAGGAACTGCAGAAGCAAGTGGATGAAATGGAGAGTTTTCTGGAAGACTACGGAATGATTTGGGTTGGGGATTCGAACAACGCCAAATATAATTCCAGAGAGTCACTAAACGAGGATGATGGTGACACTGGAGAAGATTGGATCCCAGGGGAGTCTGTGGATATTGTTGATAGAGTCCCCTTTAACGAACTCATCAAAGGAGTGAAAGATTTGAATGTTCTAGTTGGTGAAGGAATTGCCCGAGTGTCGCAAACAAAAACAGGAGCGACTTTCAAAATTCCAGATCCTATAAATCTGGAATTTTACACTGATGGTTTTATTCTATTTGATGGTCCCTTCAGAATGTATAGCGACGACTTTTCCAAAGAATTCATTAGAGATATCTTGGACGGATTTTTTCCTTCAGAACTACGCGAGAGATATCCGGATGGTATCCCGTTTGCTGTCAAGGACAAAAGAGACGTAATGTTTTTGGAAAAGGAAAGCCCCAAGCAAAGCTTCCCAGGTTCAGGTCACAAACTTTTGCAGGAGTTGGAATCAAGAGTAGTAAGGTCTGGATCAGCTCATGGAAACAAGGGAGAAAGCTCGAAAGAGTTCACTCGGAAACTGCCTCTGTCTGTTGTGAAAAATGGGAAAGTTATCGATATAAGAAATGATATCGAAGCACAACTGACTCAAAATGATAACGCAAATGATGGGTCCTCAAATAAAGAATCATCTGATAATCGCAGCGGTGTTTCAGTCTTAGCCACGAAGTTCATGAAAGAAGTATATAAGCTAGATCCGAAAGGCGAGGATACGTCTAAAGTGGACCCCGAAATTCTCAAGAAAGTTTCGACGCTCCGAATCAGGTCAGCAGCCGGAGATAATTTCTACATAGCGAAAATGTATCACGACGAAACCATTGGCGACATACGGAACTATATTCATGCAATGATGTCAGATGCAAAAGTATATGACCTTGAAATTATTACTACATACCCCCGAAAAGTTGTTCACTCGGATAACACTCAGACTATAGCAGATGCAGGGTTGGTTCCAACTGCTGTGCTGGTTTTGAAAGAGCCGAAAAACTAAAAACAAATTTCTGTGAATATCTAGCTTAAAGTGTACAAATTGTGTAAATTGTAATTACTCAAGTTTTGATTTAGTTATAATGAAAATTCATATGGCAGGAATGTTATTGTTTCAAATAACGAAGTTTTGATTAGAGGAGCATCCGTTTTTGAGGGTAAAATAAGGCTTAGATCTCTGAACAATTGAAATCCAGATTTAATTCCAGATCAACCGTCTACTCTTCTTACTGATCGAGTTTACTCTCTTGGGGTTAGTTTATTTTAAAATCTTTTTAACCTATTCTTGAAATTAGTTTTGAATAGTTCTCGGTAAGTACGGTCTATGAAACCTTAAACAATGTTTTACAAAGCACAATATAATTTTTTCCAGTATAAGTGAAAGCCTACTCCGCTTCTGGGTCAATAATGCAGCACGTAAGCAACGATTTCAAATGAGAGGCGGAGAATTTTACCACATTATCGTTTCTGACAAAAACAACTTTTGTTTTCTGGTAGGATTTCTTTTTGCTCGAAAACCATCTAAATAGTTGAAAAGTTTATTTCTAGTTTTTTTGGACATTGTCCAGATACTGTAATACTCGATGATGTTAATTCCAGAATTTCCGAAGGCTTAATTTCTGGCCTGTTTTTGTATGGTGAATTTGTTCACGCTAATTTTTATGTTATCCAGGTTTTGATAGAATGGAAGGTTTGATAACTAGGTACCGCGATAGTTATTTCAACTTTAAGCTGCGTGTTTGGTCCTGGTATGGGCGATCATTTCCTTTTTTCTATCTTCAACCAATTGTTTTGAAATAAAGAAATTAGAATTGTGTTCTACAGCCAGATCGTTATATTTGCATTAGACAATCAGATGTTATCATCAGAGTTTTGGAATAAGAACGTTTGTGTTCCTAGCATATCCATTTTTGACACTAGCGATCAGCCTACTATATTAGTACGAACCTTCTTTTTTTCTAACCTAACTCGAAAATAAAAGTGTTCATTGAAAGTGGAAAGTGTTTTATTTGGTGGCACTTTTGCTATAATCACGATCTAGCATTGGAAATTTTATAGCATCTGTTCTCTGCTTTATTTGTGGCTAGTGTTTGTAATGTATTAAGCTTGCGTGGCTGTAGTGCGTGATACTCATAATCTCTAGGTCGCAGTAGATCGCAGATCGAATCCAAGACATAGCCGAATATTTATTAATGCGATGCTTGTATCAACTTTTACTTATTGCACTTAATAGAGCTAGTTTTTGTCATGTTCTCGATAGTGTTTCTAGACAACCAATCTTCTCGAGAACAAAGAAGTGTTCTTACCTTAGGTAGTGTTTTTACCTTAACTAGCCCTAAGGTAAAGCTGGTAAAAACAAAAAAGAAAACAAGATCAGCCAAATAAATTTTAGTGAGACAAAAATTTTAAAATTTAGTCAATCTAACTGGGTTCACCTCACCAAAAATGGCGGTTTGTCAAACTAATTTTTGTTTAATCTTTCGAGAAGGGGTTTGCACATCAAAAGTTACTCAGGCAAGTTTTGGTTTGCGTTTCTCTAGCTTCGTTTTTTTTTTACCATTTTGACCACTTAAAGAATAATTTACTCAAAATTAGTTAAAAAACAGAAAAAAGCGTGCGCTTGGTGATAGTGCTAGGGTACTTATGAAATATTGAATTGTTATATAATTTGTAATTTACACTTGGTGTCTTATTGGGAAGCAGATTTTTTTCCCGTAAACTACTTTTTTTTAAACTCAACTTGATTTATTATCGAACTTCACAATTTCCGGGTTCCTTCCCACTTGGCCTAGCGGTAACGCCGTTGACCGTGCTCAATAAAGTCGAGGGTTCGGCTGGACCTTAGTTTTGTTAGTATGTATGCCCTCACAAAAATTGTCGGTAAAAATTATATTGTCAGTTTTTCGTTTGTATGCTCAATTTTTGTCGGCTTACTTGCCTCAGCATAGATTTTTCTTGTGCTGTAACCAACTTTCATTGCAGTTGAATCTTCGAGTGTTGTTTTTGTTATTTCAGGGAGGGGGATTTGAAACTTTTTAACTTTCTAAAATCAATTTTTCGGTTAACATATGTCTGCTCAAGATTTGTCGACTTAGTTCCCTCATCACGTTTTTTTCCTTGTTCTGCAAGCAATCATCACTGTATTCGCAAGTGCAAGTGTTGTTGGTTTTTTTAATCAGTGGAGACTCAAAACTAAGTCTTATGTTTTTTCAAAACATTTTTTTTCCGGCTCCTTGTGTCGGCTCTTACGTGGTCGGCTTTGTTTTTTTTTCTTTGTAAATTCTGTACCATTGCTAATTTCTAATCAAATGTCTGACATGTTTGCCTAAAATTTATTTCTATCGAGAAATAACGAACTTTACATTTGGGTAGACGTAGTTTTTTTCATGTTTTTCATGATTTTTAAACTTTAAACCTCTTTGTAAACTTTAAAAACAATTGCTTCATTAATGAAACGCAGATCTTTATCACATCATAAGTCGTTAGCAACAAAAATTAGCCAGTTACTATTTGTTCCTCTGGCTGGCTTGTTTTTGATTTTCATTATGAATTTTGACAAAAGTTTTAGATGTGAGAAAACACGCTTTTTTCGAGCCGAAAGTTACTTCGCGTTTCTGCTGTCACGGTAATACTTATTGATTCTGTTGATTTGTTTTTGAGGGCTAATGGGTTGAATACTTGTCGAACTGACGTTCTATAACAGCTAATGCCTCTATAAGGGAACCAATAGTTTTGAGAACAAAGCAGACTTTTTGAAAGTCTGCATACTGTTTGAAGATGCTATCGTTACTCACGATAAAAGTTATCAGATTTCGGAAGCTTTTTTTGACATCGTAGGTAGTAGGCTCTCTTTTAAAGGGTAACCCAAGGACCAGATGAAACCGCAATAACACAAATAGCTCGTTAACTGCAAAAGAGTCTGGGGTTGTTGATATTTTTTTCTTTGTTAGTTTGTCATACATGAACTTGTCCTGTGAACTGACAAAAGCGCATTTAGGTTTATTGGGCCCATATGATTTTGTTAACGTAGTTATATTATCTGCCAGATAATTATAATTGCTTCAATGGCTAGGGTATCCATTGCGAAAATTGCCGTGTCTTTGATCGGAATGATAGTCATTGCTCCCCAGTTTTCGAATCTCGTTTTGTGATTGTGCAGGTTGCTTGTTTTAAATTTGTTTGGATCACGTGCAGTTTTTGTCGGAAAATAGTAAAAAGCAATAGATATTTTTTATAACCGTTGTCTAACGCTCTGGTTGTTGGAGTATCAGTTCAAACATATGCATAATATGATATTGAAGATAAGATGAGTTTTAATCGAAAACATAATCATGCTCAGTCGAGGTAGGCGAGATATATGGTACTTTTTTTGTAGCCCGCTGCTGATAAAATTGGAAAACAACGTGCATATACTTGTTCAGCCTGTCCAGTTATCTTCGACTGTCTCCGGTCGTTTTTCGTCAGACTTGATTTCCCTCCTGGTCTTGAGATCCAGAATAGTCTTCGTGAATATCTTGGTAGTCGTCTTTCGTAATAATCAGCATAGTCATGGAAGCTCGATTGTTTGTTTTTATTTTAACAGTTACTGAACCTTTTTGCTTCAAGTGTTGAATGGAAGTTTCAACTCTCGATTGAATATGTAAGGTTTTTTGACTGCTCGCTGCAAAACCTGAATAAGATGAACTAAAAGATATATCGCATCTCGATGTCTTCATTGCAATTGCTGACAACATTTTTTTAATTTGCTGAGATTGTACAATTTATTTTTCGTCATTGTTAGTTCTGTCGGCTTGTATCGGCTTAAGTTATTCGGCGAATAATGAAGAGGTCTTGAACAGTAACGTTTTTGTTTTCTGGAAGCGGTGCCCTTGTACTTGTCAGGAACTTCCGCTAGTGAATTGTTCTCTTATTCGCCTGTTATGCTTACCTGATCGGAATGTTTGTCGTTGGCATCTAATTTAGCCAAACTTGCTAGACGGTTCAAATCAGTTGTAAAGTCTTTGCATACTCAGTTATGGATTTGAAATACCTATTTTATAATTCAAAATCATGTTCTCGGATTTATCAGATCCTGTTTTTCGATTTTACGTTACTCTTGGCATGCGGGCAACAGTGATACTGGCTCTTAAAAGTAAGTTTTTCAAATTTCAACCAGCTTTCATCAGGTTTTCAATGAAACGCTGAGATTGAAACAGAGGGTGAAATCGTGCTGTCATAAAAATACTTTCGAATGGAGAGTAAAAAATTTTCCCGGGCAATCAAATTGATCGCCAAATTTTCATGGAGTTGAATTAGTTTTTTCACGAGCGTTTTATAACGAGGGATTGTTTGATTGTAGTCGAAATTCCAGTTTAGATAATGTTGCAAAGTTAAGAAATGCAAAAGTAGCAGGAGTGAATATTTTGTGAAGTCCGATTTTTAAAATGCTTTTCAAGTTCGTGAATCAAAATAAAAGTCATCCTTATTAGATCAGAATTAGTAGTTAAGTAGAATAGTATTCAATTGCAGTTTTTTTGTTTGAAAGTTGTTAAGAAGTTTTTGTGTCAGTTTCAATCTAAATTAGTTACAGATTTTAATGTAAAATAGAAATTTGCTGAAAAACGCCACCGTATCTGTTGCTATAAGATAATTTCAAGTGTTTTATATGGGTATGTCTTTTTTTGCGGTGCGTCTTTTGTACTGGTAGGGCGATCCTTCCTTTTTTTATTTTAACCAACTCTTTTCAAATAAGGAATTGAGAATTGTTTTCAACAGCTAAAAGGAAATACATGATATATAATTTGTGCGGTTTTTTATTGTTATATTTGTATTAGCCAATCAGATGTTATCTGAGCTTTGAAAAATGAAATTGATTTTCCTGGAAGAAATTAAGTTATGCTGTAATAAGATAATTGCAAATGGCGTGAAAAATGGATCTGGAATATTTTTAAAAGTGGAGTCAGTTCACAGAGCAACATACTACACCATTTATTGATCCAGTTTTCTTATATATGGTTGTTTTTTTATCAAGTGCAACATAAATTATCAGTTGTGAGTAGTTCATTGTAAGTACGCTCCATGAAACTCTTAAAACCATTTTTTCTAAAATCAAATTTTT